TTTAGTTAAGTATACTATTAATATTACGTAAGTAATTACTAACAACTAAGTAACTTTAAGTTACGTACTTACTAACTAATAGTTATATATATATATATATATATATATATATATATATATTCACTCAAGAGACATACAAGCCAAAATTACAACTTATATACTTGTCAATCATATTTTTCAGTTAAGCTAAAACCCAAATTCAAATAAAAAAACCTTGGCTCTCATTTCTAAGTATTGGTATATAAAATTTTAACTAGAAGAATATGTGTACCAGAGTACAAATTAGAACTAATTCAAATTACTTTTGAACTGTGGTAATTTGATAGTTATGGGATATTTGAATTCTTAATCAAAATAATTTTGGTTGGTGCTGATTTGCATTAATGCTTCAACTACTCATTAAAATCTACTCAAATGTTGATTCAAACCATTGGTTATTTCTAGTTAGTACAACAAATGCAATACAAGATTTTTATCTTTACACATTCAAATCCTAAGCAATTGTTCAAAACAAACTGTCAACAATTTTCAATAGGGCAAACCCTCTCAGAATGTTAGCAATTTATATATAAAGAACACTATTGTGTGTAGCAGTAAGTGAAAAGCAACAATAAATGAAACAAATTATCAGAAGCCGTGAAATAAGTCAAACTACTTTGTACACATTCATACATCTTCAGTTTCACCTTGTCTTCAAAAGACAATGCAAGACTTATGAGAATGCACAGTATGTATCAAAACTAGTTTCTCTCCTTTCAGTTCTTCAGATAATTATTCTAATGTATTGTGGATTTTTACTAACCTCTTTAAAATTTCAATTAGAATACATCTATTTCACTATTACAAATATTAAAAATTTTTCACTGTACCTCTTTCAAACATCTCACACGTAATAGCTTTAATATTATTTTACATATAATTTGTGCACATGGTAGTTGGGTCTGCCACACACACTTTGCACATGTTCAAATATTAAATATCTAATTAAAACTTGACAAGTTTACACTGCAAAAATGTGGCACAAGTTGCAAATCATCTAATGCAAAAATGAAATTATGGCAGGCCCATTGCTGATGTCAAGACTCAAGTTAAACTATGTTTTCAACCATAGGGATAACTGTAAATTGTATGTCTCCTAGTGTAACTCAGGATTCTACAGCTCATGGCCCAAAACATTTCATTTTATGTCACTGAGATTTTTTAAGCATAAAATATCTATTGCATTTTTCTTAGTCATCAACACTAATACTGGGCATGGAAACCAAAACAAACATTGAAACGGTGATTTCAAATGAGCATTCAATACTTCAGCTTTGAAGGGAAAGGAAATCCATCTTTTCTTTCTTCTTAAGTAAATGTCACATTACACAAAACTTATTGTAAATTTTATACTTTAACAATAGAATACGTTTCCTTATGAGATCAACTGTTGAAGTTTTTTAATGCAATTAAGATACACAGTTCTAGCTCTTTTTCACTGGACGACACTCGCTGACAATGACAATGGTCAGTAGCCTATGTCATAAAATGCAGTATTATTTAAACATGAAAAACATAGATCATTTATCATATGTACCTATTGCCAAGTATCGGTATTATTATAAACTGCAGTTTAAAGCAGTCTTCATACCAGCATTTTAAAACTGATTTCATGACATAAAGCGGTCAATTAAATTTTCACAACATGAAAGTTTTGTGTTATGTTACACTGGGGAGAAAATAAATAAATTGTGAATTTTATTTGTACTTCGACTTTCACGACCGTTGTCAACGTCTATGACTAATGCATTTTTACGAACACTGAGCGTGATCTTAACTTTAATATGTCACAATTCATACCAGTATTTATATTTTCAGTTCCAATCTTACCCCATTTACAATTCTTCTTACAGTCCTACGACTAAGCTCTGTCATTAAAACAGGTATAACTAAGGCTCATGTAAACACGGTAACTTAACTTTGTTGTTTGCAAAGAACGGAAATTGTTTTATATTAATACTACTTTTTTTCTACAAGAGGGTGATCAGTAAATATTTAGTTTTGTAAATTGTTTTATATCACTAGAAAAATATAAACGGATTCCAATAATATTTTGTATGGATAATGTGTAATGTTTGTTTGTTTTTTATTTCAAGTCCAATACTATAAATTTGGATCATAAATTGTTTAAGACTGCTTCAGTCTAGGTTCAGAAATTTTACAAAAACTAAAATTATAATATTATTAATCACAGTTTTACATTTAAATTTGCCCTCCAGTGGTTTAGCAGTATGTCTGCAGATTTACAACGCTAGAAACCGGGTATCGATACCCGTGGTGGGCAAAGCACAGATAGCCCACTGTGTAGCTTTGTGCTTAACTTCAAATAATGACATTTATATTTTTGTAGCTATCCAAAACTCGGTTTCTGTTTAATATTGAATGCACAATAAGAATATTCATACAATTTTTTAAATAATCACGTCATTTTTTTTCTGAAAAATGTTTTTGTTTTGCTTTCTTTTATTTATATGGACCGGACTGTAATTCAGGTAAAGACATTTTCTTACCCATATTCTTCCTAAGCGCCCAGAAAACGGGAGCAAAATGACATATATTTTTGGGATGTAAATAAATTCTACAGTATATCATGTAAAATACTACTGTACTGATCTAATAGCTGTTGTATCATCGCGATCCCAACAGCTTCTGCAAATTTGCGTAATAATGTGCGTAGAGTGGGCAGTTCGAATAGTAGCATGGTTAGTGCAAACCCACAGTAAATGGAACAAACTGTTAGAAGTCCTTTGTCTCACGTTGGTTTTAATGTCAGGAAAACTGGTCATCAACGTCCAGTGATCCGGAACACAGGAGGTCGGAAAACTGTTTGAAAGTGACCTCGGGAGGTGTTAGTATTAGGTAAGCAAATTTCTTCTTTTTTATATAATTATCCGTTTTATATAAAACTCTCGATTATTTTCATTCGATCTGATGACAGACTGTTTCATATGGAAAGAATAGCGTTATTTGTGTTTCCGTATTTGATGTCCATAAACTCTTGTGCCATTAATTTTTCCCGTTTCACCTACATAACCATTTATACAGAATTGTCATGTTATAATATAAACGCCTTGTATTTTATCTTCAGACGTTATTGTTTTTGGAGTTCGGTAATCTCTAATGGTGTTCGAATATTTATCAACTTAATATGAAAGGTTGTGTGTATTGTAATTTTGTTTATCTTTTTTTCTTTAGATATGTTAATTTCGCATTTACGAAAGGCATAATATGATCATAATCATAAGTGCCCATTTTCAGACCGGAAGCTAAGAGCCTAGAAAAATGGTTTTACACAACTGAGTATAAAGAAAAGGTTTGATGGTATATTTGGGTAGAGTAGACCTTCCTGTTCATTGTACAATTTGCTGTGGAATCAGATTGTGGTGTCAGTTTTTTTATAGAGGCCATTTTCCAATATGGCCGCCATAGGAATCATGATTTCACGTATTTGACCATAACTTCTGTACTAGATGAAAATTTGATGTGATTTCAAACTCTATTCAATTGTAATTGACTTCACAGTCCATGAGGATGCAGAACTGAACATAAAAAAAATTAAAATATGTAGATTATATTTCAAAATGGCCGCCATTTATGGGTAAATATTACTTTTTTTATCAAGTTTGTACAGAAATCTTATTTCTAACCTTAAATTATGTCAAGTATTGGCTAGTTTGGGCCAATTATACACTTACTTCTATATGTGATATGTGACTAACCAATTGACAACTCAGAATGTCTCCCTTGTGGTTTTCTCATCCATTTTAAAATGTTGGGAGGCCATCTCATTCTTTCGAACCAAAATTTCAAGCAGGTAGGTATGAATTTAGTCTGCTCCAAAGTTCATATTTTTTAGATCGAAATACAGCTTTGTTTGGAAGTTTGCGTAAAGCTAGTCATCACCACCCACCACCAACTCTTGGGGTACTCTTTTACCAATGAATAGTGGGATTGACTTTATAATGCCTCATGGCTGAAAGGCCGAGCATGTTTGGTGAGATGGGAATTCGATCCTGCAACCCCCAGACTGGAAGTCGAGCATCCTAACCACCTCGTTATGCCAGGCTGAAATTGAAATACAACTTAGTTACTAAGCTTAATAAATTATAGTGGAATTCTGTGGTATCGATATAGTAATTTATTATTTTTTGGTTATTCAACTGTATACATAAAACTTTTAAAAAATTATTTCATTTCATATCCTCCATGTGCAAAATTTTAAAAGGGAACCTACAACAAAGCAGCAACTGAGTACAAAGGACGTATCCTGTAGAGATTCGTTAGTGAAAGTAACAGATAAAATATAAAGTTCTTCCTTATGAAACATTTCATAAATATCTGGATATTATAAAGATTTTGCACGTGAAATTTGAAAATTTTCTGATTTATAAAAATATTTTTAATCTTAAAATGAAAATTACTTTGCATGTTGGATAGGTGACATGTGAAAAGAAAAAAAAATGGTATGAGAAAACATTGATTAAGAAACCTTAAGAATTAATTTAAAAATTGATATTTTGCGTATGAAAGCATTGTAATGTTAACTAATAATTTGACAAATTTCGTTAACATGAAAACAATAACAAGCACAAAATGGTTACGAGGTCGGTCCAATGGACTGAGCCCATGCTTAAAGAGTTAAGTATATAATACTATCTATGTTTTCAGTGTGCCAATATATTTAAATTAAGATATATATATTGAAACTTGTCAAGATATTTAGGTTATGCGTTAATATGTTTGTTTGTTTGTGTTTAAGACCAAAGTTACACATTAAGTTATCTGCACTATGAACATCGTGGGCATCGAACCCAGATTTTTAACGATAAAAGCCTTCAGGCTCAATGCTGAGCCAACAAAAGACATATTGTTACGACATCGAGGTCACGTGACTAGTATCACGCCATGTCATTCTCGAACATTCACGTCTTTTCCTTAAATCTCGTGATCCTTCTAGATTAGTGCAGTCTTGTATATATAAGACCGGCCACGAAGCGACGGGGAGGTAATGTATGCGGAGAATATTGTTGGCCACGTGAGACATAGCGTTTGTTATAGAGCACTGTTGAAATTAAATGTATCGTAAAGTTGTATTCGGAAAGAATAAACCAGTTTTATTTAAGAAAGGACTTGTGTCGCTAAAGTTTAGTCGGAAAGAATTTGCGGAAAATTAACTAACGATTGGAGGCGTAACAAATTGGTGTCAGAGAGTGGGACAAAAAATAATAATAATGGAAACGAGAAGCGGCAAATCAAACTACAGCTTAGCAGACTTGATGGCAGCTATACAAGAACAGCAAAAGAAACAAGAAGAACGAGAAGAGAGATTACAGCAGTTGTTGGAGGAAAAAGAAAAGAAACAAGAAGAGAGACAACAGCAGTTGCAAGAAAACCTGCAAGAGTGGCAGCTACAACAACAAAATAAAGAAGAAGAGAGATTACAGCAGTGGCAACTAGAACAAGAAAGGAAACAGGAAGAAAGTCTCCAACAGTTGCAGGAAAGTCAGCAGCAACTACAGGAAAGTCAACAACAGTGGCAAGAAGTACAAATGGAAAACATTAGTAAATTTAAAAGCGAATTAGATATGTTAAAGGACGATTTATTGTCTTTTACACTAGGAGGATACATTAACCATCGACTTAACCAGCCACAGACAATGACAAGCCCCTTCCAGACCCTGCAGTTAAACCCTAATGCAGACATCTTCAGCCCTGTTAGAAGTCACATCCCAGATATGAATGTCAGTACTAGGAGTGATCCAGTACGAAGGAAACCACAGGAATTCGATGGGAAGTCACCGTGGGAAGCATATAGAGCACAATTTGAGCTACTGGCAGAGATGAACGGATGGACAGAGGAGCAGAAAGCAGTATATCTGGCAACGAGCTTGAAGGGACAACCTCTGGAAATACTTGGACAGTTCTCAGCAGCCGACAGACACAACTATAGAGCACTGGTAGCGGCTCTAGAACTCAGGTACGGAACCCAAAATCAGTCAGAAGTCTACAGGGCTAAGTTTAGGACGAGAGTCCGTGCTAAAGGTGAGAGCCTGCAAGAGCTGGCACAGGACTTGGAAAGCATGGCACACAAGGCCTACCCAACTGCACCACCTGATCTCCTCAAGTTGTTGCTGAGGGATCAGTTCGTAGATGCCTTAGACAGTCCACAACTTAAGATACAAGTGAAGCAATCACACCCCTCTACCATGCAGGATGCAATGGCCAGAGCTCTCGAATTTGAATCCTACGTTAAGTCCTGCACAGAGGTACCAAGGTTGGTACAGTCATCTGGATTCAAGGCCAGCTTTCAGAGAAGTTTGAGGGACTTTGCTGGCACTGTAACAAACTTGGGCACAAGAGAGCTCAATGCTGGAAACTTCAACTCAGGGGAGACGATACAGCTTTTTGTTTTCCAATGCCATTCAATATATGGCGTATGCACATAATAGAAATTCTAAATCTCCAATCTGAACACAACTTATCTCAGTGTATGAATATTTTGCATTGGAAAGGGCTGTTACATAACCTTCCCAACAGTAATCCATTTGTGGTGGTATCAAACTGCCTACAAAATGCCAAAATCCAGTTCGGATATATGCTATTCCACCATGACCTTATATCAGCTTAATTTAAAGGTGAAGTTTCGTATATTCAGATGTAATAAAACAGGTGTATTTGACGTTGTTAAAAACATTATCAATTTGGTTAGAAACAAAAATATTCATAGGCATGTAATTTTGCACTGAGACAGAGAAAGAAAAAATTCCACATATAATGTACCTCACACTAAAAAAAACAAGGTGGACTCATTGTTTTCTTTGATGTTGGTGAAGGAATATTTGACAGTTGAAGCAACTAGAATACTCGTGGATTTCATGGCTACGACTTTGCAAAATGAAAGCACAATCAATTATTAATGTAGAATGAAAGAAAACATTGCTTATATATTTATCCAAAGTAATTTTTATTGATAATAAATGTTGCTTTATTTTAGGATTGATCTGTTTCCAAACATTGAAGATTTTACTGAATAATTAATCTTAATAAAAAATTGCTGTTATACACGAATATTTTGAACTGCTGGTAACACACACATCTAATGAATATGTGCATCAACTTATAATACCACATTTAAGCATAAAAAAGCATGAAAGTTCACTGGAGCTACATTGGGGGGATGTGACAAGTATGTAGTTGAATAGAATTGCTATGATTTTTTTCATAAAAACAGTCGTTGATTTCAATGTGTGACTGGAAGCTTGTGATCCTCCATTAACTTGTTCATTGTCTTGTGAATGGTATCAGTAGATGAGTCTAACATAGTTGCCATGAATGTTAGGGTTCGAGGCTCCTCCATCACAGTCATTGCCTTCATTTTATGGATCAAAAGCAGAGTTTGAAGATTGGCTTGAAGTTGGACTTCAGAAACTGTTACTGTCCTAAATGCTGTGCTACGAGTTTCTCCACTTCCATGGAGAACATTGAAGACTTCCTTCTTCAAAATGCTGTGTCGTTTTGCTCCATGTCATTTAACACTCTTGCTATACAAGTATCCTTCTGCATAAAGAGCTGTAAGATATTCCTCCAGTTACAAGTTTATCTATGGCAGCATGGCATTGTCAAATGATTACGAATTTCTTATAAACAAAATAAATAGTTGCTAAACATGTCATCTATGACTTGGTGCCCCATATTTGCACTGACACACTCTGAATTAGCATATGTGAATGATTAAATATCTGTATTATCTTCCACATTTGTGAAACGTTAGTTTTCTTACACATTAACATTGGATAATTCTACAAAACATCTATCCAAGAAATTTTGAACTTTATTTCTAATTTAAAACAGTTTTAT